AACTGACAACTGAAGGAGTCGAGGTGGCGCAGCAGTTAGAATGCAGTACTGCAGGCCAGTTTAGCTGACTGTGTTCAGCAGGTCAGCGGTTCAAATCTCACCGGCTCAAGGTTGACTCAGCCTTCCATCCTTCCGAGGTAGGTAAAATGAGGACCCAGATTGTTGGGGGCAATGTAAATATATATATACATTGCTTACTGGTGTACACCACTTAGAGAGTGCTTGCACTTAAAGCAGTATATAAGTCTCATAAAATAAATAAATAAATAAATAAATAAATAAACTTTTCCATTATCCTTCAACCACTTCATAAGCAGACACTGAACAGACATAATCTAGCCATGATCACACTGTTTTTCCATCTAGAGTATCATTTTTCATTTGTCTCTCCTCCTCCTCCTCCTCCTCCTCCTCCTCCCCCCCCGCTCCCTCAATGAATCCTTAGTTGTTCATGTGATGATAAATGCTAAATTTGGACTATGTAATTCAAAATCATACTCACATTTTAAACCATATTATTCTTCTTGAAATCATATTTACTAACTTATAGATATATGATCCATATCATATGCTTAAAAGTACATAATTGCTTAAGTGTCATGAAACTGATAGTCAAGTCTTCTAAAACCTTCTTTGCAGCATACAACAAACATGAAAAATAATCTCATCTCAAAATTCTTTACAATTTTTTAACTATTATAATGTTAATAAGTGACATTAGGACTTTTTTGTTCCAAATTCCATCCTAACAATACTAATTAATTATCTACAAAAAATATTGCAGATTTGGAATTGTTCAAAATGAATTTCAGTGCTAACAGAAATTGAGAATTGCATCTTGGCCAAAAAATGAAATCAAATATATATTACTTCGTTATACTGGCATTGTGATTGGCATTTAGCTGATCTAAAGCATTAGTATCATACTTTACCATGACCTTTATGAATTCAGAAATTAGACACTAGAAGAGTGTAAAGATTCCAGATAAATATATAAATAATAAAAACCTGACCTTTGTTTTTGATTAGTACTAGAATTAGTACTAGAATAAAACAAAATGTTAGGGCATCTGAAATATTCCAGGAGATTTTGAAGAATGGAATCAGAAATTAGTTGCTATAATGTCAACAAAGATGTTTATTTCTATGGCTCCACTATGTCCAAAAGATGTTAATGAAGGAATGATAGATGGGAATGAAAATTTTGAAAGATTTACAGCATAAAGAAGTGAAACAAAACTGAATGGCATAGATATATTAGAGTCAAAAATAGTGGAAAATAAAAAAGCATGGAATATAAGACAGATAATACTATTAAAATGAAAAAAAAAACCAAGCAAAAGAATTACCTGGATAAAGACTTTCTTTAACCAGAAGCTGGTTAAAGATTTGAATGAATAAAAGTTCAAAATTATTAGAAGTAAAAGGAAGGAATATATTTGACCTAAGTTAAAATAAAGTAAGTTTAATAAAACTCTGGTAATCTTTTTACAAACTTTGTGCTGATACCAAATCTTTATTATTTCTTTCTATTTCTCTTTTTCTCCTTAGTTTAGTTTGTACTTGCTTTTATTATTATAATCAACATTTTTCCAATATAAATTATTTAAAGAGTAATTAAATTAAGTTAAATTAAAACTAAGCTGCTATACTTTAAGCATAGGTATAGAACAATCATGATTGTCAATAAGACTTAATATATCATCACAACATATAATAACAATAAGAATTTGTGTTCAACTGCTTTAGGCCCCAAAGATCCTACGTTTCCTGATAACAGATGTCAGTAGTTTCAAGATCAAATTAAATATAACAGAAGATAAAGGACAATCCTGGCAAGTTCCACAAAACTTTGTGAAAGTCATGGAATAATTACAATTACAATAATGTTGTCTGAAAGTTTCCAAATATCTGGTTTTTCAATTAATTGGTAACTCTATATGGTTACACACACACACACACACACAAACATACACACAGAGTATATAGTTATGCATGTATTAATGGTGGTCTTGGGTCATAAACAAACAAATAAAGTCAATAAGTTCAACACAACCACCCCTGCCAAATCCAGTAATAATTTAATATTAACTGAAGAATGTTGAACTTTTATTAAATTAAATAGCACAGAATGGACAATTAAAAAGTCATTTTGGCTGTGGTCCACATGCTGAAGTTGCTATCAAAATTTTGGAATCAACTATTAACAAGAGAATTGGCCAAAAGCAATTAACAGCCTTCAAAACCATTGTTCTAGAAGCCTCATTAAAGTTAGAAAAATGTGACTCAAAAATGAACCGTCATAAACTTCCAATAGTATAGAATTCAAAGGTTTCATTGGTGTTTCATGCCAATTAATAGGGTAATCATACTGGCAGCTTTTTCTCTTTTCATAACTATCTATTCTGCCCCACAGTGACAGAGATGTGGCTAGATAAAGAGTTTAGCAATGTATAATCTTCAAAAGAGCTATATTGTTAATATGTTCTAATTTAGGAAACAGAAAAGATTTATGTACATCTGGTGTAAGTTTCATTGCATATATAGTTGCTTAATTTTATTTTCCAAATATCCTTGTTTAGATTTTTGTTTGTTTTTCCATGAAGCATATGAGAAAATACAACCTTTAATAATAATGCATTGAAAGCAACCCAGACTGTTATTTTAAAAACTGTTTGAATATTCGTTTTATCGACTCTATCAAAAAAGAAAAAAAGGAAAAGAAAAGATATAATAATTGACAGTGTTATTGAAGCGTGACCAGAAATTGCATTTTGAAGTCAAAAAGATATGCACTCAAATAAACTGCAGAAGTGCAGATTAGGACATAATTATATTGCTTTTGAAGCAGAAAGGATCAGTGCATTTAAGAAGAGGGTCATTTGTGTCCCCGTGACATATGTTAATTGGAATAATGTATGCTTTGCTTCTATTGGTACCTTTCTACAAGATGCTATTTGAAATCAAATACATGCTCAGCACACAATCCATAGAATTAGAGCTACTGGGATAAGAGAATGTTCAATGTCATAAATTGACTGCAAAATAGATTTTGGTTTGCTATCCAAAGATACTTTACACTTTATTCTGTGCACAAAATGAACAATGCCAACGTTGTGCAAGGCAGCTGCACAATTTTGTCTTGCTGAGATAGAAAAAACTCATTGCAAAGTAGATACCCTCCCCCATATTTCTAATTGGATCTGGAGGCTGACAGAGAAACAAAATTATCAAGTTAATCTTATATAAAAGAAGAGAAGAAGAAGATTAACATTAACTAGGGACATTAAGCAAGCTAGTAATTATCTAAATGCACAGTAACAGACAGGGAGTTGTATTTAATGCTGCTTATCAAGAGTGAAAATCATTAGGAGAATAGTTTTTTTTTTCTTCTAAAACATGTATTGGAATGACCTCCAGAAGTAATTTGGAAGACCTCTAGGAAATATAAGGAGCAATAGATTAAGTGATATTGGATGAGATTCACTGTACATTTTTAAGGGAAGATATCTCATTTCCTAGTTTTGACCCCAATAGATATTGGTGGGGACTTGAATGGTTTCATGGTCCTCACTGAACAGACTCCAATACTATTTAATTTAAACTAGGAAATGTAGAAGACAGTATGATTTTCATTACCTACATTTTATTATTTAATATTAGTAGTAAATCAGTGAGACTCTCTCTCTTTTTCTCTTTCTCTCTCTCTCTCAATACACACACACACACACGCACACACACACACACACATCTCTGAATGTAAAGCACAGGGAGAAGGCCTCCACATACATGTGTGTGCTATAAGGTGAATGGTACCCTTCATATTTATAGCTATACTTAGAAGATGACATTTTCCTTGTACATGTTTGTGTTGTACTTGCAGATACTCATACAAGGCATTACAATGAACATATGACATCTAGTGGGAGCAACATCATTCCCAATTCCTAGTTTCAGATTTGGGGATATAAAAAACCTTAATACAATTCTTGGTTTTATTGCTTGAAATTCATCACAAAATAAGGGGTGAGAAGAACAAGGGATGTTACAGAAACACATATTCAGATATATCGTACGTAAATTTTGCAGAGAAAACCTGTCAGGACGTTTCAATTCAACAATGATATATGGTTGGTCATGGTTCTGTTTGGTCTTCTGCCTACCTGGTTCTCCATATCTTTTGACTACCTGGACATTTATTTATATTTAACCATTTATTAATTTATTTAACACATTTCTAATGTCATCATTTGTTTGAAATTGCCATAGTTGAAGTAAAAAAGATATTATGCTTGGGTATACTTTTTCACTGGATTCAAGTATTATTACTATTTTTATCTGAGTAAAATCCCAAGAATATCCAAACAGCCTTGGAATGCCATTGGCATAACCTGAAATTAGCATAAATGAACCTTCTTTTTATTAAATCCAGAAATGCAACACATTGTTTTGTTTTGATTTTTTTTTCAGGAACAAGAGGTGGCTGGATGTTAAGACTTATTCTTAGGTATGCTTGGTACATATTAATAAGGTTGATTCAGTATCTATAATTTCAGCAATGACTTTTAATATTTACTTCATATTTGAAGAATTGTTACCATAGCAATAAACAATCTTTTGCTCCCACTTTTTCTGAACTACAAAACATGGTCCTAAGCAAAATAATTTTTTTGACAAACATTAAGAAATGCTGATTAAGCTATACACTACATTTCATACTGAAACAATGACTACATTCTAGTTGTGGTTGAAATAGTTACAACCATGGAATCATTTGATTAAATGATTCTTAGTGATTTATTTACCACTTTATCAATCACCACCATCATCATAACCTTCACCTAACTACAGGAACAACAACAACAATAACTTTTTGTGTAGCTGAAGTACTTACCAATTATTTTTGTCCAAACATTTTTCCCCATATCCAGAAAGTGGTTTCAACCCTCCTTCATATTTTAAAATATAATGATTTTATAAATTACTTGATTTTCACCTACCTTTTCAGCTGCTTGGGAAGTGCAAAAAAATATTGGAATGAAGGCAAGCCATACTATACATGTAGTGTACATAGTGAATCCAATGGGTTTGGCTTCATTAAAATTCTCTGGGACACCCCGAGTCTTGATGGCATAAACAGTACATGTAACCATTAGAAGAATGCTATACCCCAAAGAGCATATTATTTGTAGATCCGTAATGTCACATTTGAGAACGCCTCTGGCTTGATCTGGTTCCATAGACTTATGTTCATCATAATCTATAATACTGTTTGGTGGATCAACAGCAAACCAAATGAAAACTCCAAGAAGTTGTACTGATATCAAACTTGATGTGATTGCTAATTGTGATGTTGGGCTAATAAGCCTGGGTGCTGTCACTGATTTTTTGCCCTGTTCAAATATGCGATAGATACGGTTTGTTTTAGTCAACAGGGCAGCATAGCTTATGCACATTCCCAATCCCAGGAAGATACGCCGGAAAGAACACACGGCAACATCTGGCTTGGCAATCATCAAGAAAGTGATGATATAACACAGAAAGATTCCTGTCAACAAAACATAGCTAAGTTCCCTTCCAGAAGCCCTCACAATGGGAGTATCATTGTACCGAATGAAGGTTGCCATGACAAATATGGTGGCAATAATTCCAAGCATGGCCAGAAAGACTGGAATGACTGCCCATGGTGAATGCCACTCCAACTTTACAATAGGGATAGGGCTACATCCGGTGCGATTCTCATTTGGTCGTTGATTGTAGGAGCACAGCTTGCAGCTCACTTCATCAAACTGGTATTGGTAACCATCACACAGTTCACACTGCCAGCAGCAGCTCATCCCTTTCATAATCCTTTTTCGTTCTCCTGGTTTACAGGGAAGACTGCAGACTGAAGAAGGAATTTTCTTCACTCCTTTGCCCCACTGCATTTCATCCATCTAAGAGTAAAAGAATATAGAATAAATAAGACTGCTGATCTGGAAGTAACTATCAAGTAGGCCTAGTGGATTGATGAGTTGATTAACAAAGAGAAATGAATAGGAATATATTGGAATAAAAAAGAGATGGTAGCAATGTTACTCAGCCAAGAAGAAAATGAGAACTGTTGCTGAGGGAGTGAGAAATAGAAATAAAAATTTCATGAAGAAGCAAATAATAAAGGAAATAAAGGTTATTACCATAGGGAAATAACATGAAAATAGTTTCGACAGAAACCCACATAATTTGAACAAAGCATTTTCTCCTATTAGCATAGCATTCCTTGCATTATTATAGTATTCTTCCCTTGTAACCACAGAGCAAACACTTGGACAGCCAGGCATAATCTATTAGAACCTGAAAAGTCCATTTTATAGAGTTTGCTTGAAGTGTGGCCATAGTTTAATGAACAGTGAAGCCTGAATAAGCATGACTCTTAAGGTTTTCTTTATAACTTCTTTCCATATCCTGAATTAATTATTTTCCAAAGCTGATGTGTCTGCTCCCTATTCCCTTTCTAAACAGCCTGGAGTCATCTATGAGTAAGTTGGGTGGCCATGTCAATTTGTTTAATAATTAAAATTAACAGCATGTTTTAATGTATGCATGTACAGTGATATAAGTTCACATTGGCTTTCAGGAATCCTGACACATGTGTTTCCCCTCCACCACCACTGGAAAGATATGAATGACAACAACATAGCTGGATAGTATGGTTTAAATCTCTCCATCCCTTATCTTTATTAAATGCATTATTTTAACATGGCTATTTCAAGCAACCTGTCAAGGATTCTGATTTTATTTTAAAACAAAGATCTCCAGTTAATATAGCTCCTGCCTGTGCTAGCCTCAGCCAGAGTCGAACTGATCCAATTTTTTAATCTTTTTCCTGAAGTGCCCTACTACATGTTAAATAATGAGTGCCACTGAGTTATATATACTAATGCTACCAATTTACATTGAGTGACATTGAAAAGATGATTGATAGGCATCCAAATTTCCTCAGAACTCACAATGGACTGAACATTCTGTTTCAGAATAAGGATTTATTTGTCTTTGTACGTGCAGACTTTTTTTTCTAAATCACATTATAGTACAGTCTGGCTGTACTAACAGAGACAATGACTAGAACAAAAATTGCTTTGTTCTTTTCTACATAAATTGGCTGTGTATGCATTTGAAAAGAACATGATATTATTCACTGTGGGCAAAATGAAACCTAATGAATTGAAGTTGTATGGCACATTCCAAGGCAACAATGGAAAAATGGACAGATGGATACCTCTAAAGGTATTTTTAAAGATTCTTGCACTCTATGGTAGGTACTTATTAAGTCTGACTGTCCCATCATGTCTGGCAGAAGAGGCACAGTTTGGGTTCCATCTACTAAGGAATGTGGTCTGGCAGGACCCATGAAGAGACTCTTCTCTGCCATAGGGTCTGCCCTTTCATACATCATTTCCCTGAAGATTAGATGGGACCTGGCCCTGTTGGCTTTTTGAAAGGCCTTAAAGACCTGGCAGTTTTGCCACAGGACTTGAGGATCCATATGTGTGGTAGAGTTTGTGTAATGGCTGCATTCAATGCTGTTGGTGGTTTTGTACCATGGCATCTGATTGTGCTGGTATGGTTTTTATATTTTTCATTTTCTTAAATATAATTTATATAATTTCAAATTGTTGTTAGCCATCCAGAGTCATGAAATTGAGATGGAAAGCCATATAAATTGGATAGGTAGATAGGTAGATAAGGTAGATAGGTAGATAAGTAAGTAGATAGATAGATAGATAGATAGATAGATAGATAGATAGATAGATGGATGGATGGATGGATGGATGGATGGATGGATGGATGGATGGACGGACGGATGGACAGACAGACAGACAGATAGATAATGTAATTATTGTTAGTCCAAAACAAAATAGACAAAAGGTATATATTGACTATATGAAATGTTCTCAAGTATTTACTTAATTGTAATGCAACACATAAAGATTAAAGGCAGGAAGGGTCAGATTAGCCCAAAAAATGTTACCTTAGCAATAATAGGGATGGGTGAATAACTAACATCAGTGGATTAGCAGTTATCAAAATTATTTATACTCTACTCAGTGTTGTAATTAAATAATGAAATATGTGTATTGCCAGTCATTACCAAACCAATAGATCATTGCTGGAGCATTGAGCACAGAACCCCAAACTCTATCACTGCATGGTGGTAACATCTAATAGTTATGGTAGTCCTGGCATATGGCAGTCAGCTCATTCTATGAGGGCAATTCAGAAATAAATCTCTCTTTGGTTATCAATGACAGACACTTGAAGATACAGAACTTTTATTATACACATTAGAAAACTACAGCATTACATTACTTTTTGACATAATCGCCATTCAAATTGAGGAACTTGTCATAACATCTTACAAGGTTTGAAATTCCAACAGAACTGCTTCAAAAGTTCTTGGGTGAGTCTAGTGGTGTGCTGACGAGCATTATTGTGAACCAACACCACAGCAGAAGTGGTGCTATAAAACTATTGCCAAATATGAAGATGCCAAAGGAGTACTGCTAGTGAAGTTCATGGAGCATGATTCGACGATCAGTTAAGAAGTCTACTGTGAAACATTACAAAAACTCAGACAAGCCATCCATAAAAGTGTTGGGGCATGCTGACTTCTGATGGGGTGGTGGTTCATGATAATGCTCGCCCGCACATCGCTAGACATACCCAAGAACTTTTGAAAAAGTTCCGCTGGGATGTATTTGATCACCCCCCCTTCATAGCCAAGATTTGGCGCTGAGTGACTACTATTAAGGAATTTCAAACCTTGTAAGATGTTATGATAAGTTCCTCAATTTGAATGGTGATTATGTAGAAAAGTAATGTAATGTTGTAGTTTTCTAATGTGTATAATAAAAGTTCTGTATCTTCAAGTGTCTGTCATTGATAACCAAAGAGAGATTTATTTCTGAATTGCCCTCATAGAATGAGCTGACTGCCATATGCCAGGACTACCATAACTATTAGATGTTACCACCATGCAGTGATAGAGTTTGGGGTTCTGTGCTCAATGCTCCAGCAATGATCTATTGGTTTGGTAATTGCCCTCATATATTAGATTAGGAAATATCATAAGCAAATTTTTTTAAAAAAAAATATGTTCACACTGTCCAATTCTCGGAAACTACCTGGACAAATCCCTATAGTTTTATAGGTGTCTTAATATAATTCCATAGCATAGTTTGAAGCATTCAATTAAAAAAAGTATTTGCATATGTTTATTGAAGGTGTCATGTAATTTCTCAACAGCTTTCTCTAATATGGGAAGATTGGAGACTGGCAAATAGTTATCTTAAATTGTCATATCAAGGAATACCTCCCTGAGAAGGGGCTATACCATTAGACACTAGGGAGATGGATGGATGGATGGATGGATGGATGGATGGATGGATGGATGGATAGGTAACCTCACTATTACATACACTACAGTCTATGCAGGGTGCAAATAAAGAAATGTGGCTTTTAGTATAGATAAATTTAATTTATGTATATCTATTATATCAATAGATATAACCCATACAAATAAAAACTCTTTGGGGAACCTTCATAATTTTTAAAAGTGGAAAGGGTTTCTAAGAGGAAAAAAGTTTAAGCAAGTCTGAAGTAGACAATTGCAATCATCAATCCAGAATGAAAAAGTACATGATAAAAAAGTACATGACTGTCTTCTGACAGTCTAGAATTTGCTTTTTAAATAAGGTAATGAAAATCTGTTATAGTCATCTCTATACGTATGGATATCTGATAAGACATCAGATATAAGATATTTTCTTATGTAAAAGCTCTAAGGATTATCATATAGTATCTCTCATTTTATACAAAGTCATTACTGAAAAATATCATTAAGATTAAAATTTAGATGAAATTCACTATAAAAATTATTTTATGTTAATTAACACACTATGGCTGAAACTAATATTTCCTTCCATGGAGCTCCAGTTGTTCCCTTTAGTTGTTTATTAGCCTAATCTGAGTTCAATGGAAATAACAGAAATGTCCATTGAAAATTGTCATCATATTTATTGGTATCTTGTCATTTTTTTCTCCAGTTGCTAAAACAGTAGTCCCAAGACTTTTGATATAGTGAGCTTGATAGTCAATAATGTTTTCATTACTTTGATCCTGAAGTTTATGCATCAAATGATGTAATTATTTTTTAAAATCTGAGGCTCAAACTGTTACTATGAATAAAGAAAGGTTAGATCCTTTCTCCCAAATTTAAATTCTTGATTTGGGGAATAAGAATATAGTGCAAACCAATGTGGGGAGTATCTTCTTTCAGGCAAGACTGCTTCTGTTGCTTTTCATGCTTTGTCTGGAACATGAAACAGGTTCCTAAGGAAGAGCTATATAGTTACACTTGGCAATCAAGAAAGCATGACAGAAGACTGCTACTCCTCCCCAGAACAATTTTCCTGCCTGAAAGGAAGATTGAAGGAACCACAATCCATCCCTGCCCTAATATTTTTGGCAGCTCAGAGCGAATGGTTGCAGGAATTGGGTATGTCTAGATTAATGAAGAGAAGGACGTGGGGTGCCATGATAGCAGTGTTCCAATATCTCAGGGGCTGCTGCAAAGAAGAGGGAGTCAAGCTATTCTCCAAAGTACTTGAAGGCAGGACAAGAAGCAATGGATGGAGACTAATCAAGGAGAGAACCAAGGACAAATTTTCTAAAAGTTAGAACAATTAATCATTGGAATGACTTGCCTCCAGAATTTGTAGGTGCTCTATTGCTGGAGGTTTTTAAGAAGAGATTGGACAATCATTTGTTTGAAATGGTATAGGGTTTCCTGCCTGAGCAGGAGGTTGGATTAGAAAACCTCCAAGATCCCTTCCAACTCTATTATTCTATAAAAAACATTAACAAGTAATTAATTTAAATCCAAGATGCAAAGAAGAAGAAAAAAGATGTAGAAAGTTAACTTAGTATTCACTTAGTACAGAAAAGGATAATAATATTTAATTATGTGCCTTGATAGAGGAAAAAACCCTTTTTCATTTGAGATGTCTTCATTTAATAAAATGGCTAACATCAGTAACAAAGTGGATGAACTTCTGATCAGATACAGAGGTCACCCATTGAAATTTAATCCTAGAAGAATTAGGATTAAAGAAAAGGTGTTTTGTTTTAACATACTGCCTAACATGCAGCATACAATATAACATACTACTTGCTTGGCTGGCTTCAAAAAAGGGCAGGATCAATTTATGGACTGTCATAGAGATCAGTGGCTATTAGCCTTGATAGCAGAGTGACTGCTTCTGAAATTCATCTGCTGAGAGACCAGCGGGCTTTCTTAGGCAACTAGTTGGCTGCTATTGGAGTATATAGGCCAGGGTCCCATCCAGCAGTTGTTTGTGTTCTTATGTTTTTATATATTTTTCATGGCTGGTTCATCTAGCCCAGGGATGGGAAACCTTGGCTCTTTCATGACTTGTGGACTTCAATACCCAGAATTCCTGAACCAGTTATGCTCTCTCAGGAATTCTGGGAATTCAAGTCCAAGAGTCATAAAAGAGCCAAGGTTCCCCACCCCTGGTCTAGCCAGAAGATAGCTGGGCAAAGTAGTAGCAAATATGTGAAGAAGCAAACTTGAGAACGCTTTTTAAGTGATCATATTTTTTTCTCTGTGTGTTTTAAAGTCAATGTATTTCATGCTGTTGTCTTGCATGACTTTGTTTGAAATCATAAATTTAAATCTGATTCTCATCGGAACTGCAGCATTTAAAGGAGCAGACTGCTAGAACTTCTTAAACAAACTGTCCATGAATCATAGAAATTAGATGCAGTATTTGAACTATTCCTGTTGGTTTCTGTCAGAATGTTTCTGTATTGAGAAGAAATAGCTTTTAAAACCCCTCCAAGACCACAATTACATTGCAAAGGAAACATTGATTATACTACTAAAACCTGATCATGAATTCTGCAGTGGTCTTCTGTCACAACAGTTTTATTTATTTGGAATATGATTCTGAAGAACATTTTATCTCCCTTATTTTTTTAAAAAAAGCATTTTAATGCAGCTGCTACATCTTAAGGCTGAATATCATTCTCTCAGTACAGAGCTACAAATGTTTTATCCTCTTTTCTTCAGGCTACTTGCACACTACATCTCATATTTGGATATTATTTTTCATATTATTGCTTGCTACTGATTGTGCGAACATTTTTAAAAATTGATGTGAATCTTATTTACAAAACATAAGGGTCACAGGAATACATAAACCACAACAATTCTAATGTCATGGTTCCGACTAATGAAACACTTCAAAGAACTTCCAGGAATTGTTTATCCTAAAAAGTTTTTTATTCATGTAACAAAATGTCAGCATGACATGAATGAGGGTTGCCAAGATCTAAATTCCCCTCCCCTGAGCACATATTTTGCCAGCATGTTCCCTCCCTTAATTTTCTGTCATAAATCACATTCTCCTATAAGTTTGATGGCCAAAGGTTCTCTTCCATTTGCAGCCTGGGATTTTTATCTAATATAATTACCCACATACATTCTTTCTCTTCCCCTCCCAGCATCATATGAGTTAACTCTAAAAATACCACACAGCTCTGCATATTTTATCAGAGCAAGAACATCCAATGTTAGCAGAGTTGACATCTAATTTGATTGCCGATTCATCCAGTAGCTCAGCCCAAAATGTATTGGCTTTACTTAAATAATGGAAAATAATGCTCAAATTTTTCTGGCATAGAATAATAAATTATTTCCTCCTCCTCCTCCTCTTCCTCCTCCTCCTCCTCCTCTTCCTCCTGTTTTAAGTAACTGCATATCTGTATTTTTGTCATCCAAAGTCCCTTGTGCTATAATTATTTTGGTTTGAATAGGACAACTGTGACATATTTCACTGAGAAACAATTCTACATGAACATCAGTCAGAAAAATGATCACCAGCTTTGAACATGACCTCAAGAGAAAGATTTTTATGATAGTGAATGATACACTAAATTAATATCACAGACTCTGTTTAGACCAGAAAGCCATCCTTGAAGTTATACAGCTACATTATTCAGTTATCCCTTTGACAGGTGAAAGTTGTTGGGTTTTCAATTCAATAGAGGAGCAGGCAAGTTGCCTTGACAAAATCAGAATCAGCACAGCTGCATCCAAAGACTTGAGAACCTCACCTTCACAATGCCAATGTCAGCCAGACCAAAAGCCACTATTTCTCTTAATTATAAAAAAAACTTAATTAATTATAAAATAGACATTCCAATCATTTAAAACAGACCAAATTTCCAAGAGCAGATCTCTACTTACTGTTTAAACTTCTTGTATCCTTTGTGTTTATGCATGATTCTAAATCAGTTTAAGAAAATTATACTCAAATTAAGGCTCTTTGAGAACAGTTAGGATACTCAGATTGAACAACAAGCAACCATATCTCGCACAATTAGCAATGACTAATCACTTTTCATTTTGCAAATGAGCTTTTATGAACATATATATGAGGTTCAGAATCACCTCAAACCATAAGATGGGCAACATAAAAATAATAATAAATACCCTTAGTATAAGTACACATTTATAACTATATAATTTATAATTACATCTAAATCTGCTAGACAGTTTTTATTCAGTTGTTTTATATACAACTTGAAATGTCCAAATAAGCAGGCATAAAAAGATAAAAAGGGTCTTACTTTACTGCCCTATCATTTTCTCATGACTTTCAGAGCTATAAGAGCACAATAGGAATAAGTTGTGCTTTGTAAAAAGAAAGTTGGTGCTTCAGAAATCAGAAAATAACGGGTTTTTTTAAACAAAAGCCCTTTTCCCAAGCTTCCAACTTTCCTTATGCTTCCTTTAAACAAACAAATTCAGTAATGCAATGTTTTACAGTTTTTCCAGTAACTGAAGATAATACAATTTCATCCTCAGATTCTAAATAACCTATAGCTATTTGAAAGATAATCCTTCTGCAACCAACCAGCAACCATTTATTTACCAAGTGCGATAAACATTGTGTTATTATAGCAGTCATGATAAAAAGCACTTCTAGAAAGTATAAGAGAATGTGGTAAATATTGGTTTAGTTGAAGGAGTGTTCCTTGTTCTGCAGAATAGCCAATGAACTGCTGAGGTCTACAATAAACTGAAGCTTTCTATCTGAAACAGGCAGGTAACATAACATAAAAAAGCATACTTTAGAGCACGGGTGTCAAACTCGCCGCATCACGTAATGTGTCATGATGTATCGTGACTTTTTTGCATTGCCAGAGCTGGGGTGGGAGAGGCCTCCATATGATGCAACCAGCCCATGGGCTGGCAGTTTGACGCCCCTGCTTTAGAGGTAGAGCAGAAAAATATAGTGTGCAATTGCTTTGATAGTGAGTGGAGAATTATAAGAGATACAGCATCTAGTTTTATCCTCTAGAAATGGCTGCAGAACTGGGCAGGGCACGTAAACATATTAAATGGTAGATGGCTAGTAGTGTCCAATCATAAAAGAGAGACAATTTCAATACTCTTCCAATATAACTCTTTCTCTCTCTTTCTGTACACAGAAATGTACAGATCACCCACAAAGCAACACACAAATCCAACAATATCTGACAAAAAATGATGTCCTGATCATTACATTGGACTTTCAACACAGGCTCACCACCCACAGCTCAGTGAATGACACTACCTATTTGTTTTCAGTCAGTCTCAAAATATAGTGAATATACAACACCTTTCATTCAGTGTTGGAGGAGTGGGATCAAATTACAAATATCTTAAAGCAAAATGTGAAGCACATTTCCACATGAAGCTAAAAAGTAAAATACAATTTCAGTACAGGCACCTCATCAAATGAGGCTAGTCACAAGGAAGGCATGCAGAAAAGCCTGACTGAATTTTCCACGCATTCTGCCTCTTGAAAATAAGGCAGCTGAATATATCTATAGTTTTATAGTGTGCCATCAATGCAAACTTCAAATGATAAGCATTTTTGGGAGAAAAAAGCAGGCTAAGCAATTTTCTGACAGCATGGTAGGCAAAAATGTACTGGACTTGAGTGAAGAATGAAAGTTCTCAGAGCTCATCTGAGGTTTTAAAGAAAGACTTTATGATAGCTGGGTCAGAGGTTAGTGCCATCATATTCAGTCCATGGGAAATTAGGGTGCACTTGAAATAAAAGAATAAATATCAGATCAGCAAAAAACATAGAAATGATAAAAAGGGTTACTTAACAAACTTCCTTTAAAGATTTGTTTGTTTGCTTGTTTACAGTATTGGTAAGTCACCAAAGTGACTGCCTGCTCATTTGCTTTCAGGTCAGTTTTAACCTAAAACTACCCCAGAAACAAATCTAGGATCAATCAATAATATAAGTGCCCAACCCAAGGTGGAAATAAACCCTGGGAATAGCCATGATGAATATTGGATATGAATGAGATGGGCAGTATATAAATTTAATAAATAAATATAATAAATAAATCTAGACCTCTGCAATAATTCTAATTACATACAGACAAATCTTTTTTTCCATAAATTAAGGTACATCATCATCCAACTGTTTATGAGAAGCTGTAGACTAACAGCATACCTGCCAATATGGAAGGATCAGAAAAGCTGTATGATTATGACAATGAACTACATGTAACAGCATGGGTTAATTAATTGATTAGTGTATTCCTCTGCTCCTCCAGCATTCTCTTTCTCTTGCCCTAAAGAGATAAATCCAACAAAAAGGCATTAATAAGTGGTATGGAAGTACATAGCATTTGCCACTGTAGGCAATCTTTTCAAAAGACAAGCCAAGAAATATTATTGGCCAATAAGAGACAAGCAACTATGCACACTCTTTTGTGTGACATTTGGATTGACCAATGAAATAATGGTTTGAAAAATCTGACAATATTTGACATTACAATACAGGCCTCTCAGCAAACGGTTTCCATCCTCTTCAAGGAGGAACATGAAACATGCTTTTATGTCAACTACTTTCCATTTCAGAATTTGGACAGCAGATGGAGATGGAGAGGTCTAATTCATGGAAACATACAACATGGTGGGCCTAACACATAGCCTTTTTCCAAGATGTGACTAGTACAACCAAGGTTAGGATGTGTGGGAAAGACAATAATTCATTTAATTTCTCAATCACATTCAGCCCAAACTGAAGATTTATGGGCATGAAATATAACATCTCCCAATAACCATATGAGGATAAATATACACCAGGGTGCTCAGCAACTTGCTGAGTCACCATGCCAGCTCTCAAAATAAGCTCAGCTTAACAGTAGCAGTCATGAAAATAGCAGGAACTCAGTTCATGCCCATATGAGGCCAACAACAGTTAAAGAGCCAAAATCTTCAACTGCATCTGCTTTTGTCTCTTCCTTCAACCAGCAGCCACTGCTCCTTTGGAGCTAAGAAGAGGAGAAAGAGATGGTTGCTGTAACTGAAGTTCCTGGCCTAGGAATAGAAATTATAGGCATCCATTGGATGAATGGATGAGGAATAATACCATCTCTCCAATGGATTAATGGGTCTATACTGCTAATCTCCATCAAGGTTCACTGTAGTGGAGCCAGCCTTGGTATTATAACTGACTATTGCTTGGGGGTAGCCGTTTGTGTGAAAACTTCATGCAACTGAGTCATTTTTATCAATGGGGAATCATTCTTGGCCCAGCTCTTTCACAACTGACTCTTTTCTGCAAAATAGTGATTCACAGACCAGGCTAGCAGAGAAGATGCTTGCCCACATGATGGGAAAGCCATGTCACATTCTTTTTAATAGAAATATGAGATTTAATCCAACTTGCCTCATGAAACTAAGCAAAAAAAAAAAAAAGCATCAGATACCTATCACTCCTAGGAAATACGGATTTATAACTTATTACACCTTTTGACACTCCCGTGCTTAAGATGATTGCCAAGTGCTCCTTTGAAATGATGAATTCAGCAAGTCTAGATTATTTAAGATAAATCATACTTGAAAAAGGGCTGCCCTAAATATCATTTCAGTGCCTATGCTTCATTCCTACAATCAGTTCTTATGTAGTAATTAAGGGGGGGGGGGGGAGAAAAACAGAACAAGACAAAGAACCCTTCCATAGTTATGTGTTTCTATAGAAAAGGAAAGAAGAGTATTCACTTCAATCTCAGGCTGCTGCAGTGTTGCACATTCAAGAGCCTGCTATTTTACATCATTATTGTTCAAGGAGAACTACTGCAGAGAAACCTGATGTGCACAAGCAACTTGCCTAGGACTTATTACTTCTGGGAGGGCAGCTCTAGCCTAGAAATGCGAAAAACGGAGGAGTAAATTTTCCTTGGTGACTAGGTTTTATGAAGTTTGAGTTTATAATTTCTTCATGGGTTCTCTTTTCTCTGCTCCTAGTAGCTATCTAGGAATGATTGGTTGCTAAAAACTAAAAATTGCATTTTCGTTTTTAAAAACCAATGGAAACTTTGTAAGGAGAATTGTGAAAGCAAGGATGATTTAAGAAAGAAATAATGACGGAAAGTAAGTGGCATGCAAGGCATTTCTTATATGGTAGATTCTTATTTCATGTATTTCAAACAATTAAAAAATAAACCAAGGTGAAGTCTGGATATACAATTGATACCTCCCTCCAATTATCTCTTCTGAAATCAGAAAAAAACCTAAAATTTTCCAACAGATATTAAAAATAAAAAAAATCATATATTAAATTTCTATTTGATTATCATACCAATGCTCTTAAAATGTGCCTTAAAGGAGAGTTTTTTGATGAATGAAATGAAACCAAAATGTTAAGTTCACAATTATCATTATTTATGGAGCGTAATACATTGTTTAAACTACTCCTTAATGTTTCTGATGTGGCAAATCTTGTTATTGTGAAATACAGTTGGTCAAATGGAAGCTGGCAATTTTGATGGATGAGTACATTCTTCCCACATAAAAATTCATTCCATCTTCAAGACATATGGGCCACGATGCCTGGCATTTACTGACCACTATATTGCAAGTAAGAATGTGGGAAATCTTTTTTTTACACAACAGATATTAGTTGTTACTAAAGAAGAACAAGAAAACAACAGGTATTATAAAAAAAAACCCTGCCAGGTGCCTCAGGTACAAAAGAGAGAACTTTGTGATTAATCCCAAGAAATATATGTAGTTTTAAAATTAAGGAGAACAATTCTGTTAGAAATAGCTATTTATGTCCGCTGCTATACAATATTCAGCATTCAAACTTTCCAACTACAATTGTAAATATTTTTTTTCAATATTTTTACTATCCTCAACTCCTATATGTTTGGTAAAATTGCCTAGCTTAATGGGAATGTATAAATGAGACTTATATTGCCATCGGCTCATTTCAATAGGTTTGCAAATCCCTCACTTCTCATTCAATTATTTTATTAGCTACTTAAATGCTTCTTTTATGATTTCTTAATATTTGCTATTTTTTGTTCTATTCTTAAATCTAGTTTTGTTGACATGCATCAAGACTGAGGATAGGCACTTTTAAGCTCTGAATTCACTCAGTTGCTAGTAAATTCAAATTTCTCCGTGTCTGCTGAAAAGTTCTTAAATGCATTTAGCACTGCATTCAGATCTCTCCCTTCCCCTTGGAACAATTTTGTTCTTTTCCAGTTGGACTAATACTTCAATTTTCCTGTCAATTTTCTTTTCTGAGCCAGTTCATTTACAGAATCATATAATTAGCTAATAATTATTTGCCATTAATACATGTTTTTCCAGTAAATTCATTTATATTTCATAAGATTATTGACGTCTATATTGATTTTCAGCTCTGATTATTAACACATGTTTCTGTTTCATATGCCTTAATTATACAATATGAAAAGATTACAGTTATTTTTGGAAATACACATCTCTGGATATTTTATTCTTCTAAAATGAGAGTATATAACTGTAGCTGGAACTGGGCAAGCATTAGAATCAATAAAAAGGAGTTCCAATCGTTTGACCACTACAATATTTAAGTTTTACCCCCAGATGTTATCATCATCCAGCAGTCTCTGATTTTAGAGTGCAGAAGCTCCAATAATGCGGGCCCCATAAATGTAGGGTTTAAAATCATTTGTGCTAATGTTTCCAGCTCCTGGATTCTTCCCAAACTATGGAATGAGGTTTGTACCATTTATGTACTGTATATAATTTTCTTTAATGAAGAAAGAGGAAATCGGAATCAGGGATCATAGCTGGAATCATTCAACCCCATCTCTATGCAGTCAAAATTAGCATAGAATCTACAATGAGGAACAAAGGCACATACACATACATTACTTTAAGGGACTTAGTTCCACTGTTAAACTGCTTGTTTCCAAACAATAACTCAAGCATTAACAGAGAACTAGAACAAAGAAATGAGAATGTTTCCTATATGTGTTCCCATTTCTTTTATATTTAAATTCTAAAGATGTGTAAAAAGGCATGTCACATTTTTTTACAATAGTTTCTAACATGGGGGCTTTAACCATAGTGATTCCTCCCTAAAATATGTAAATGTAAATTTCCCAAGACATGTTTCACATGGATATTATCTTAGTTTTATTATTTGAAATAGAAAAACACTCAGGGAAAATTGTTTATTTAACTGTAGTTTCATCAATATCTCTTTCACCAGTGTATCTTTACTGGAATTATAAATTATTATTGATTTTTGATCTGGGAAATATGAAGTCTGACACATTTCAGGGGATACTAGTGTTCACACTATGGCAGAATTTTTTGACTTCCCAAAATTCAAATAAAACTTCAGCCATTGACTTTCTGAGTCTTTCACTGGAGCTCAAAATTAATACATTTTCTTGAGTCATCCTTAATCCTCCATAAGCCGATACATGGAAAATTAGGTTTTGTTTATTGAGCATTAATTATATTTCACATTGTCACATTAAGAGTCACTGTAGTTATGCCTCGCTGATCAATCACAAGTAGGGGGTAGGGTGGGAAGAAGCGGACAGCAGATCATTACAGACAATAACTGGGACTTGTCATGAGATGTAAAATGTTTAAGTCTGGGTCTGGCAGCCAAAACAGTAAGAGAGAAGGGCCATTGAAAATGGGAAAAGATGTTGTTGTTGTTGTTGTTAATTGCGAAGTCGTGTCCGACCCATCGCGACCCCATGGACAATGTTCCTCCAGGTCTTCCTGTCCTCTACCATCTTCTGGAGTCCATTTAAGTTCACACCTACTGCTTCAATGACTCCATCCAGCCATCTCATTCTGTCGTCCCTTTCTTCTATTGCCCTCAATCTTTCCCAGCATTAGGCCCTTCTCCAGTGAGTCCTTCCTTCTCATTAGGTGGCCAAAGTATTTGAGTTTCAACTTCAGGATCTGGCCTTCTAAAGAGCAGTCGGGTTGATCTCTTCTAGGACTGACCGGTTTGAACGCCTTGCAGTCCAAGGGACTCGCAGGAGTCTTCTCCAGCACCAGCACCATAGTTCAAAGGGAACTATGGGAAAAGATATCTTACCCCATTCACTTATTTATCTGTGAAATGTACTATTATAAGAGAGAGAGGGGGGGATTTGTTTTAAAATTTCATACAGTTATCTAATTTTATTTTAAAGTAGTTACTATTACTCTAACATATGGAAGGGTTTCAGTACACAGTTGTAAGTATATTTACTTATATTTAAGTATATTTATCCATGTGGTATGCTTGCAATATTATTTTTCTCATCTTCCCTTTTTATTG